TCACATTGCTGCCAAGACCACAGGAAAGTACACCCTGTAAATAGCTCTAGACAACATATATTTCCTAATGCTGCTGTAAAGAGATGCCCAAAATGCAGCGACTTAACCCACACTTGTTATCCTACAGTTCCGTACGCTAGAAGTCCTAACCACACACATTACGCAGTGTTAATAGAGCTTCACATAAGAAAAGGCTTCTGGAAGCTCTAGGAAAGAATCCGTTTCATAAGCCTTTTCTGATTTTTGAAGCTTACTTGCCTTTTGGCTATTTCTTCTCCCTCAGAACCAGTGGAGTAGCTCCTACTGTGGTTTTCCTGCTTCCATCTTGTAAGTAAAGACTCTTTCAACTACAGTGGGGACAAGATAACTCAGGATCATTTTCATGCCTCAATGTCCTTACTTTAGTTACATCTACAAAAACAGGCTTTATTTTCTTATGTTAGGTCATATATTCACAAATTTCAGCAATTAGGACAGAAATATCTTTCAGGAAGGAGGAGATATTAGTTTGCTTACTATGTATTAAAAATAAAATTATATTTTCAGTGTGTAAAAGTAGAATATTGTATTGATATAAAATGAGGAAATTTTAAAAATTGAGAAAATAAGTTTTGTGTCAAATCAGTGGATTTACAGTTGTCCTGTTCTAATCATGTTGGTGCTGTGTATTTGCAGTGTAAATTTCCTGATCTTCAATTTTGTCACCTGGATAATGAGCTTATAAGGCCTCCCTCAGAGGATTCTTTGGAAAGGCTTATGTTGATTTTTGTATCAGCACCTAGCATTACAATTTCTTGGCTCTGAATTCATTAACATTACAGGAGAGCCGAGGTTTTAATCAGTCCTTTCTTTGGTAAGTCTTTGTGTTGGTTATGGAATTCAAAACAGCATGTATGTTGTACTTGTTGTGGTTCTGAAACAAGGAGGCAGGTATGGTCTATTGTAGGCCAACTCTATCTGTTTTGATAGGGTAGATAAGTGAGGAGGATATTGCAATTGGAGAGTTCGATCACATTAACTGGGAAGTTTTAACTTCAAAGGCTTGCTCAGAAAAAAAGTAAAACTGAGTACTTATTATCAGGGATTACCATTCTATGATCCCACAGGTTGGTAACTGGACATTGATCAATTAATGTCTTCAATTAAGCAGATCCTGTTGAAAAAGAACAAAAGTCAACCCATAAGTTTTTCAACAAGTTAAAAAATAGATTGTTGTGATAGAAGAAACTGGATGGAAAATGAATTCTACACGATTAAATATTATTAGTTTTAACATTGAGACAGATTGACAAGTATTTGTTATCAAAAATTCTTTTATACATAAATTTTCACATCTTGGTTGTGCTGTGTAAATAAAAATTATTTCTATTTCCTTTGCATTCTAATAGGCTTTACCTGAAGTCTGAAATTCTAACCTAATAATGCAATATTATTATATCATTTGGAATATATCTGTAAATATACACACTTTGGATGGTTGTATTAAATATTCCTTTAATTGATAAATTTATCTTTTCTCTATTTTGGTGAGTCATGATTTAACAAGATAAAATATGCCACAATTGGAGAAACTATATGTACTCCCATCTCTCTAATTTTAATAATGCATAAAACCGTATGTTTTAGGAGATTTGATGTAGAGCTTAATGTAGAGACTCATACTGTATCATCCATTCTGAATTCATTACTCTATAGGTTAGGCAAAATCATTATTTTTTTTAACATTGAGTGCATTTGCGTGTATCATCAAATAACTAATAAGGTATAAAGAAATCATTAGCCTTTCTTTAGAAAGATATTTAAGCTAGTGAACTATAAAATGCTGAGTTCTTTACAGTGTCACTTGGAGTTCTGGGGGATGTCTCTCTTTTGAATTCAGAAATCATAAATTGAATATCTTGATATACTTGAGTAAGCGGGAAATGAGCATTGCTTCTGCAATTGACTCATAGATGTGATCCTAAGCAGGAGGACAAGGATGAAGAGGGTAGGAATGAATAATAAATATATTTGAGAATGAGATTTAGCATGTAGAGACTATAAAAACTTTCTTTAGTACTCTGAAAAATATTTCATGTTTTTCCAGCATTCTTTTCAAAGACTAGAATGTGTGATGGATAGGATGTTTAAACACTTTATTATTATTCCAATCTAAAACAAAAATAATGTCTGGAGAAACATTTCTGATTGTAACAGTATAGCTTAATGGCTACAGACCCCATGGAGATTTTGCCTTTTCTTTCCCCTAAGACCTCCTTCCAGTTATTTTTACAGTCTATATACTCTTAAAAGATACTTGCAGAAATTAACATGTTAGCTTGACATTGACAGTGGTGATTTCAATTGCAAACAAATAAGAATAAAATCATGTTTGTTTTACAGGATAGAAAGTGTCGGTACAACTTCAGCTTTCTTTGCAGCTTCAGTTTTTCTTTCATTTTTTTCTTTAAGGATTGTGAAGAATTCCAGCCTCCCTACTGTTGCATCTTACATAGATTCATGTTGAATATGTATTTCCCAGCATCTAGAGATGCTGATTCAGTGTAGTTGGTGACAGGTGTCTCAATGACAAAGGCAGGAGGCCTTTAAAATCTCCAGTTTGGGAGTGTTAGGATGGGTATGATATAGGCTCATGCTGACAATCTAAAATGAAGGCTCTTGGCATAATTGCTTTTCATTCAGAAGTTAAGGAATGCAGCTGCGTCCTCTTCACCTCCAATTCCTGATAACTCTATGCATGGAATGGAGACTTGCCTCCTTCAATTCTGGATTTCTTTCTCCTCTTTCTTTAACATTACTAAACATCAGTGAAGTTACTGCTATTCTTATTCTAACTTAGTCTGGCCAAAATAATCTATTTCAGGGTGGGGGTGGGGGAAATCTAATATAAAGAGAAAGAATTTCTGTTCTTATTTATAAATGAGTGAATATCTCTTTCCTTCTGGAGGCATTGCAGCACAACCCCTGGCAAAAAGCTGTGGGGCTGGGGGGAGGGGGGGTAGCAGAGAAAGAGGGAGAAAGCACTGGTACTTTCTAGAAGGAATTCACACTATTTATTCAGATGATGGGAAGAATAAACAAATGGAATATTCATAGGTCTTTTTAACTCTTGGACACAAGCTGCAGGTTAATTCACCAAGAATATACTATCCAGGGTCTAGAGAGATGGATCAGCAGTTAAGAACACTGGCTGCTCTTATAGAGGACACAGGTTCCATACCTAGTACCCACACAGCAGCTGACAACCACCTGTAACTCCAGTTCCGGGGAACCTGACACCCACTGCACAACATTCCCTCACTAAAGAACAACACACATTTTCTGATTGGATTAGTAATAATTCATAGTGTCTACACAGTATTTTGAATTGGTGATTAAAGGCATCCATTAATAAATGTAATTATTGTTAGCCAGGGACACATCATGTTGAGAAGCTCTTCTGTTAACTAGGTTCTTAGATTCTTGCTCTCCCCACCTTTATAGTGGATTCAGATGCAGGCAGCTGCCTAACAAACTCCCTCCCTTCTTCCTGCCAGCCAAGAATCAAGGACAGCCCAGTATTTTGAATTGGTGATTAAAGGCATCCATTAATAAATGTAATTATTGTTAGCCAGGGACACATCATGTTGAGAAGCTCTTCTGTTAACTAGGTTCTTAGATTCTTGCTCTCCCCACCTTTATAGTGGATTCAGATGCAGGCAGCTGCCTAACAAACTCCCTCCCTTCTTCCTGCCAGCCAAGAATCAAGGACAGCCTCACCTGCAAGCAAGTAGTATGGATTACCTGTCAATCACATGGCATAGAACCTCCCCTTTCCTCTAAGTTGTATGAGGAACAGCATTCTGCCTTGTGGGTTTGAACTCTCTTCAGAACCTTATCATGCTGTCTGCTTGTCTATGGTGCTGAGCTAGTGAACTATAAAATAAAATATAAAATAACTCTTCTAATAAACTAAGTTATAATAAAAGGACAGTCTTCTCAGTGTCCCCTTGAACTCCAATGAAAGCTTTTAATTATAAATTTAGATCTTATGGGTAACTGTTTTATATTCTGTGGTTGGATATGGCTCTTATGTCATAGGGATAACTTGACAACTGATTGCCTGCCTTGAATCCAAAGTAATAAGCAATTCTGAGTTTTACTGCTGCCGTGAACAAATCATAAATAAATGGATACCCAGTCTGATGATGAGGCAGACTGAAGTAGCCTAAGAGCGTCTTACTAAATTTAAAGAAAAACATCAGATCCAAATAATCGTTGTTCAGCTGACATTTTTCTTTCTTTTAAAAATCTATATATACGATATATTTTGATCATATCCTTCCCTTCTACCCCCCTCCAACTCCTGTAAGACCCTCCAAACTTATTTTTGGCAGGTTTAGAAATACCTTGATGCTTGTGGTGAGCTTATCATATATTATACAACAAATAAAAAGTATCCTAGGCACCAGAGAGATGGCTCATTGGGCAAAGGCACCTGTCACCAAGACTGATGAGTTCGATCTCCAAGACTCCCGTGATATAAGCAGAAAACTTACTCCTGCCAGTTTATCCCTGACCTGTACATGCCAGGCATGGCACATGTGCGCACACTCCTCCCCCACCACATAATTCCTTTATATGGGAATTTAAAGAGGAAAATAACGGGACAATTAAGTGCACATTATTTGAACTTCTTCTTTTTCTTATTTATTTATTTATTTATTTATTTATTTATTTATTTATTATTTATTTTTGTCAGACTCAGGGCCTTGTACATAGTAAGCAAGCCCTCTACCACTTGCTAAACTTCTTGAATAAATTTCCATTTTCATCAGCTCCCTGTGGGTGGGTTTAAAGTACTAGCTTCCACTGAAAGAAAAGTCACCTTTTGAGAACCATGATATGTTTTGTGATATGTGAAGTCAATATTCCCGTCTAATCATTGAATGTTACTACGAGTGACTTGTAGGCAGAACTGTTTAGTTCTTAAATTTTATTATTTTACTATTATTATTTTATATCAGATGAGTAATGTGCTGATATTGTAAGATTTGAGAGAGGTGCATCTCACACAATGGCGTAAATACGCAATCATCAAGCTTATGAACCAAAAATAATAATAAAAAAAGATCTGGAACTCTGTATTTAAATGGCATTTACATAGTTTGATTTAGCAGATACAAAGAGTATCATTGCACTGAACTCTGCAATCTGAAAGGCCTTGGAAAAGATCTTTGACTAGTTTTCCTCTCAGCAAATATACTATGTGTTTTAAAGATGGCAAAACTATAAGCAGCTTTAATTAAAAATATAGTAACATCAGTAAAAATGAACTATGTCAAAGATCACCTGGGTTTAGTCAGGGGTTCAGTTATATAATCCCATAGGACAAATCTACAGCCTCCCATTCCCTTCAAAGTATGACTCTCATGCAATGTGACATTTGAGGCATGCTTTTGTACCCTATGTTTTTTGGCAAACCAGCTGTGGAGTGATTAGTGAATCATTTTAGGATATTACATACTAATTGCTAAAATGAGTAAGGCTCTTTCCTCTTCTACACTCAATCCTTTAACCCATCATTTTCTACTTTCACAATTTAAATACAGATTGCCAAAATTTTGATTCACTAACATGCTTATTTGGTTGAAGTTCAATTTTGTTTTTGAGAGATTAGCTCAAGTTGTTCACGATATTATGATCAAAGTTTTATAGTTGCCTCAAAGGATGAACTACTAGGGGTGTGAACAAAAAAGAAGGCAGAAGAAAGGAGAGAAGAGGAGTAGGGAATGTCAGTGTGGAGTAGGAGAGGGAAGACAGATTTGCCTACCCTAGGCCTCTATTGTGGCTATAAAACCAAGAACGACATTGAAACCTCAACACACAGAGCCATTACTGGTTTTCTTCTGTATCAATGATAAACTTCATAGCATTTTAACATAAAGCAAAAGTCCAGACAGACAGAAGAAGATTATTTTGTTTATAAAAAAATCCATTTTTGAGGCATATTTTACTGCAAATAGTGATTTATTTTTTACATAAAACACACCTAAATTCTAGCAGTGTGTTCTCACAACCCTGGTACTATCATTATTCATCTATAGAGATAAGAAAATATTACTGCATTTTAGAGAGTAAAAAGAAAAAAAAACTGGCTGATAAAATAGTCAAACAAGGCTTGATAACAATTTATTTCTGACCTTTTAATGCCTTCTGTTCCTAATGATTTTCTGTCATTTCTGTCTAGTCCGGACTTGAAGTTCAGTCTCAGAGGTGCTTAGCTTTATGTTGCCACTTAACTTTCAACTTCCATTTTCAGCACAGAAAGGTAAATCAGTAACTGTCACTCTGGCTTCTTGAGGTTTGTCAGGCACCCAAAAGGGATTATGACATAGATCTGAAGGGTGTTTCATGTGACTTTTACTTTAATTTTGACATAATCATGGAAATGCCTTAGGACTTCAGAAACTTAATTATCCTGAAAGTTTGCCTCACCTCTTCCTTTGTCTGGGTTTCTGCTTCACTACGCCACTCTTTTCTCTCCCATGACTTGTCAAGAAGTGATTAGGGGAAAAAGAAGGAAGAAATTAGGGGACATTTTCAGTGATATGTACATGTGCCTGAATACCGTCTCCTTTTCTATTTTATTTTTTTCTTTTATGTTTTATCTTGAGGGGAACGACATGTGCCTTTCTTAGTCTGGACCTCATCGTACGCTTGCAGAACCATGGGAGTTATCCTTTGCAAAGTTAGTGCCGCATCCTTTATATCAAAATATTGTTGAGTCTTATATTGTTGAGTGTTATTTTTAGCTTACCAAAGGGAGTCTTATGGGGCAAGACCCTACCTAGAGGTCTTCTTTCACAGAAGGAACAAATGGGAAAAATAAGAATCAAAGAATATCTGTGGAGAATTTCTGTCTTGAGATGATAGAAACATTTATGTTTTCTAGTATATTCGTTCAGATAGATTTGTCTGTGGAAATGTGGGTATGGATAGTGTCTGTATTAATCAAATTTTCTTCCTTTGTTTAGAGAAAAGTTCAGTGCAAACTGGCCTAAACCTGACTACCTTCAGGTTTGGATGGATTCAGGAACTCAAGGAGGTGCTGATTCCCCCATGGTCTCGCATGTGCCCCCCCTTTTCTCCCTTTTTTTGCTTTGTCTTTATGTTTTTCTGGGTGTTGCCTTACTCTTTCCTGGCATAGACTGGTTATATTTATGATGGCAATGAAGGCTAAAAGCAGCCCTAATCTGAACAGAAAAGAGACCTTTTCTCTTAGTATTCATGTAAAATCTTCTACAGAGGCACAATATTGGCCCTAGAAACCATCCTTCCCTTAGTTACATGGCTAGGGGGGTTGAGAGATCAGATCAAGTACTCATCTCTTCTGATGTGTTGGCCCAAGATTGTGGCTGACTGTCTTACAATATTGTGTGAAGAAAGGACAGACTAGAAAAGAAGATTGTTGTTCTGGACATACAAGAAATGCAAGAAAACATGTTTGGAAAGCCATATTTACCAAAACATAGATCTCAGTATAGTTCTGTGCATTCAAAAGCCAATCAATATACCTAGTGGAATATTTTTTTCTTAAATTTTTTCATAGTGTGTGTATGTATTATCTCAGTTTTTCCTATAACATACCTAGTGACTATAGTCTATGACATAGATAAGAAAACTGGAACTAGTTATTTTAAAATTTCATTGCATTTATTTATTTATTT